GATTTCAGAGGATTAGAATCCATAAACCTGGTAATAACACCAAGGAAGAAGAAGAAGATCATACTTAGAATTTTAGTTTGGTACATTACTGTGCTTTCAATCATGAAGTCTACTTGTTTGTTTGTTAGTATGAGTGGTTAAATCTAGCTGCTTCCGTTAGCTAGATGAAGCTGGAACTCATGAACTAGCTAATTGGTTATGGATTCTTTTAGTTGGTTATTTGCTTGTGTTTGATTGCTATTACCTAGCATGCTTAATTTGATACTATATTGCTTAAATTCATATTCTGCGTAGTTTAGTGACCATTAACCTGCATGAATTTGATTACCTAGTAATTTAGTAAACATTATATTATTAGAGCTAAGATCGAACCAATCTTAGATAAGTAATTAAAGTATTGAATTTGGCTATGCTGGAGAACACATATTGTGAACATAATTGTGTTTGTTAACTCAATATTACATAGCTCCAATCCTATTTAATAATTAATTATGTGTTAAATTATGTGTGACTATGCATAGATTTACATGAATTGATTCAATATTAGTAAATTTGGACTTGAATTGCTAATAACATATAAATTGGTAACCAACGAGAATTATCCATAATTAATAACTAATCATTGAGGAACATAAGTGTTTTAATATTTGATTGAATTAGTTGTTGAGAATTTAAGTTCGTCTAAACTTGCAAAATTAAATAAAAACCATTTTACCTTTGCTAGAATTTTAGGTTAATTTAATAGTAAGTAGGTTAATTAATTAAAATCGTTCCCTGAGTTCGATACCCAACTTTTGTGCTATACTATTTGCGAAGGGGTACACTGCCCTGGGTCGAATAACTACTTGAATAGGAGGTAAAATTAGGTGTAGCTGTTTCAGATGCATTAATAAGGAAGAACTAAGTATCAAGATCTCATTTTTATGAATCAAGACCCCTCAATAGGTCTGAAAGGACGACCTATTTGGACAACCTCTCGGTTGGATTACCGTAAATGAAGGAACAACTAGATGTATAAGAAAAGATGATCAAGCTAGGAGCTTTTTTACCTCCTGAAGGTTGCTAGCAAGGTGAGAATCCCATATCCAAACTTCTTTCAAGCTCCAATGTCCTTCCACCATCTTCTTCTTCTTCAAGAATACCATCAAAAGACACAAATGAGCTCAATATGCACTCTCCACGATTAGGGTTAGCTAAAGGGACGATTTTTAGGTGGAGGCTGATGAGGGTGAAGGTATTGGGGCCATAAAGAGGATTATATAGGGTGCAAACCCTCAAACTAGGGTTTTGGACTGAACATCATACACCCCGCGTACATGCTGAGTACGCTCGGCATACGCGCACGAACCCGCGGTCCTCATGCATGAGTACGTCATGCGTACACCCCGAGTACGCAAGGCGTACGGACCAGGAATGCAAAACTTATAAAAGTTAAGGGTTAAAAATGAACCTTTTCGGAACGGGTGTTACATGAGGCAAATAACCTAACAAGCGACTCGCAACAAGAAGTCTTGAGAACCATTGCCATAAGGGATTTGGTGGAATATTAGAGCTTGCACGAGAACTTGAGGCCATATTTGCACTTTTTGACCTAAAATGGTGAAGGGACATGCATGGTGAATGCATGTCCATAAAGCAAGCATTTTTATGGATCATTAGGGTCCCATTTAGCTTCTGGAAGGGGTGGGATTAAGGGTTGAATGGATTAAGAATGTTGGAAAGGTGGTTTTGGCTTCAGACCGTTCTCACGACGTGAGACATAAGGTCTCACGACGTGAGCATAAGTCACCGTCCCTGCTGAGTCGTCTGAGTCAGGAGTGAGTCCCGAAATTGGATCGGACACGTCTCACGACGTGACCAAGGATTGGTTACGGCGGGAGGCGCTATTTTGGGCTTTTGGGCCTTAAAGGGCCATTAGTTTCTGACTTTGGGCCTTACTTTGCTTGGGCCCATTTGTAGCCTTGGGTGTCATTTAGGAATTTGAGTCTTCTTGGGTTAGGCCCATGATGGGTTTTGGGCCCATTTAGGAATATGGGCCACCATTGGGCTTTTGGTGTTAATGGGCTCGACCTTGGTTTTGGGCCAAGTAAGAAAAGGGTAAAATGGTCTTTTACCCTGGATAATGGATACGTGATTTAGATTCTTGGTTATGGGTTAAGACCCAATTATTAATTGGGTATTATTAATGATGTTAGCGCGGGGATTTTCAGGGTCAGCAGACCGAGACTTTATTTGAGAGACTTTGCAGCTTGAGGTGAGTTTCCTCACTGTGTTTAGCGGGTCGAAGGCACCAATGCAGGACCATGGTTTATTACGTGTAAGATGCTAGTTATATGTGTGACTCTTGCATGTGTTATGTGTTTATATGTTTACAGGGCGGGGCCTGATGATTATATTGTATGCTATTTATCTTTGTGATTTTATGCATGTGTTTATATGTTGTATGTATATCGGGTGGGGCCCGATGCCAGACAGGGCCTGATGACTGACAGATATGTTCCGAGTGGGGCTCGATGCCGGGTGAGGCCCATTATATGTTTGATATGTATGGTATGTGGTATTTTGGGGAACTCACTAGGCTTTGTGGTTACGATTTTCAGTTTATGTTTCAGGTACTTCTAGTTCGAAGGGGAAGAGCCCGGGATGACTGCAATGCACCCACCACATCGTTCCGCTTTCTATATTACTCTGATGTACTTGGATGTTATTGATACACTTTGATTCATCATGATTTCTATGGTTTTGTTTTGGATAATGGTTTTATGAATTTAAAAAACGAATTTTTTAGTCTTAATTTTTGGGACGTTACAACCTCGACAAATAAGATCTCAAAATAGGCTTTTTTGGAATCCTATGTTTGAGAAAAATATGTAAGAATGAAGAAATCAAGGTGTTTTGGTATGAATATCGATTTAGTTATTATCAATATAATGAATCTTTTTATGTTATGCAACAAATTTCTTCTCTAAAAAAATACAAAAACACAAAACCACATCAGAATAAGCCACCATGGTTCTAAAACCATGGCCCGAATATGTTAGGTCACCATAACTTGCATGTCATGGTTCGACTGGTTAACAAGCCACCATGGTTCTAACACCATGGTCCGGTTATGTTAGGTCACCATGACTTGCACATCATGGTTTGACCATTTTAATAATCCACCATGGTTCTAACACCATGGTCCGAGTATGTTAGGTCATCGTGACTTGCACATCGTGGTTCAGCCAATTAACAAGCCACCATGGTTCTAACACCATGCTCCGACTATGTTAGGTCACCATGACTTGGACATCATGGTTCGACCAATTAACAAGCCACCATGATTCTAACACCATGGTCCAGCTATATTAGGTCACCATGACTTGCACATCATTGTTCGACCATTTAACAAGCCACTATGGTTCTAACACAATGTTCCGACTATGTTAGGTCACCATGACTTGCACATCATATTTTGACCATTTAACAAGCCATCATGGTTCTAACACCATGGTCCAATTATGTTAGGTCACCATGACTTGCACATCATGGTTCGACCAATTAACAAGCCACCATGGTTTTAACACCATGGTCCGACTATGTTAGGTCACCGTGACTTGCACATCATGGTTCGACCAATTAACAAGCCACCATGGTTCTAACACTATGGTCCGACTATGTTAGGTCACCATGACTTGCACATCATGGTTCGACCAATTAAAAAGCCATCATGGTTCTAGCACCATGGTCCGACTATCTCAGGTCACCATGACTTGCACATCATGGTTCGACCATTTAACAATCAACCATGGTCCGGTTATGTTAGGTCACCATGACTTGCACATCATAGTTCAACCATCTAACAAGCCACCATGGTTCTAGTACCATGTTCTGAATACGTTAGGTCATCATGACTTGCACATCATGGTTCAACCATTTAACAAGCCACCATGGTTCTAACACAATGGTATATATATGTTAGGTCACCATGACTTGCACAACATGATTCGACCAATTAACAAGCCACCATGATTCTAACACCATGTCCCGACTATGTTAGGTCACCATGACTTGCACATCATGGTTCGACTAATTAACAAACCACCATGGTTCTAATACCATGGTCCGACTATGCTAGGTCACCATGACTTTCACATCATGATTCGAACAGTTAGCAAGCTACCATGGTTCTTAAACTATGGTCTATATATATGTTAGGTCACCATGATTTGCACATCATGTTTCGACCAGTTAACAAGCCACCATGGCTCTTACACCATGGTTCGACTAATTGATAAGCTACCATGATGCTTACACCATGAACTAAACATAATGGTTCGGTCGACAAAGGGCCATGGTTCTCATAACAAGGTCCGACTATGTCAATATGATTTTCACATCACTCCCCGATCAATATAAGATAAGACAATGAAGAAACCAAGGCTGTGTGGGTAAGCACGATTAACATTTTCACATAAGGAAGGTTATATTTTAGCAAAGGTAGATACAAGCATCATGTAATATAGGAAACATTGATATCACCACCAGTCGATGCTAGCATGCATTACAAGCAAGAGAGAGAGAGGGAGAGAGAGAGAGAGAGAGAGAGAGAGAGAGCACATAGTTCAATTACGTCAAGCCAAATACATTAATCATCATCATGGTCAACACGTCGGAGAATCGGTATCCTCTAAATATTTCTTTAGCAAACCTACGTCCACGTCTTTGGTCTCCAAGATTTTGAAGAGGGAATAATCAAAATTGGTCAAATCAGAGAAACTTTGCAATATGGCTTCCTCAACATTATGATAGAAATATAAGACTTCTTTCCCCTCCAAATCATTTAAGTACTTGCTTTTCATTTTAGAACAAGCTCGGTGTAAACCAAGCTCGATGGAAACAGCCTGAAGGGAAGAGTTTGTCACACCAAACTCTTTGGAGTTTAGCAAGAACCAGACGGAATAAGGAATTCCTTCCTTTAAGAGATAGTAAAACTCCTCGGATCGGTGTTCATAAAGTTATTGATGGAATAAAGCTTCTTGCTTAGCAGTGGAAGATTTAGTTAGTAGTTCATGAATACATAAGATTTGATCTTTCACAGTCGTCTGACACTCAACCAATTCGATCTCCGCCTTTTTGATTCGAACGTCTTTCTCATAACAAGTTGCATTCAAATTAGAAACCTTCTTAGTGGCTTCCTCCAGTTCCTTCGCTGCGATCACATGGAGGGCACACTCATCATTTATCTTCGCTTGTATGTCTTCATTCAACTTTTTCAATTCCTCATGATGACAGTAATATCCATCTAGATCTCGAAGTAATCGCCCATTCTCAGCAACAAGTACGTCATTCTCTTGATTAAGGCCTACATTCTCCCTCTCTAAAGACTGATAGTTTTCACAAATATCTTACAAGATTTTAGATGCCTTCTCAAATTCTAGTTGCTTGGAAGCCGTTGAGGCAGCTCGGGCTTTGCTACATAGAGAAACCTCGTTCATATAGTGAAGACCTTCCAAAATGTGAGATCGAGCTTTGTCCATCCCTTCCTCATCCTTCATTCCCTTAATATCGGGAGGCTGAACGAACTTAGTATTTGCAAAAGGCAGAAGAAACGACGGAAGGGAGGAAGCTAGAGACACTAGAATATGAAGTGAATCCGGAGTCGTATCCAAAGAAGTTCAGTCAATTAGAGGGAAGAAGCACACACATATGAAAAGGGGGGGGGGGGAACAAGGAATGGTACTTACCTATCTTTGGAGGAACCAAAAGTGCATATGTAGAGGTATTCAGGGGATGGTCGATAGATTTGAAATCCTATGAATCCAAATTAGGAATTAGTGAATCCATGTCAATAGTATCAACAATGCCTGAAGAAAATTCAGTAAACTCCAAAGCAGGGTTGATAAGGGGAGATGAAGAAGCAGGAGGAACTGTTAAAGAAGGAGCTGAGGAAGACATACGAGAAACAGTGGAACCAAATAACTATTGATGGAATGCGCGCTTGACAAGCTCACTCATTCGAGAGAGAGTTTTGGAAATGGACTTACTAGGAAGTGGGATGGTAATAAGAATGGGAAAATCTGATTTAATGGAAGCAAGATCAGTAATGGAAGCAAGGGGAGCGGAGGATAGAGGAAAGGCAGGGATGGCATCAATGGTAACGATAAGATCAGGATCGGAAAAAACAAGACAATCATGAAATAGCTCATAAGTTTTAGGATTTCCATCAAGTGAAGAGATGTGAGCAATACCCTCGGGACCTTGATATTGGGGTTTCGAAAAGCAGGAATTGCATGATCGCTTTGGAGAAAGCTGGAGAGAAGCATCATCAAAACGGACTGCCAAAGGATCTGAAGAGACCGACTTTCTCTTACTAACTTCGATAGTGCTAGCTTCTTCGGACCCTTCAGGTTCGGGTTCTTTCCCTTCAGGTTCGGTTTTAAAGGAAACATGGGACGCTTGTCATAGGCAAGGTCGTTATTGGAAGCATCGCTTCACAAGGGACAAAATAAGTATCGAGGGAGTCAGTCGGATTACCTTGAAGAGATGAATCAATGTTCGATTCAGACTCAACCGTGGTATCAACATCAGAAAGAAGGGTTAAACCTTGTAACATGCTTATCAGTCTGTTTTATAGTTTTGGATCAATGCTTCCAATGGAGCCATTCTAACAACAAAGGATTACTGCACCTTAGAATATGGATGGAGGGTTTCAAAGGGCTCCCCCAAGAACTTCCTAAATTTGCTAAGTCCATTGTCGATTCATCAGGATCAGACCAAACAACATAATTGGCAATAAGCCTCTTGATGATGCCAGGGCCGTTCCAAGACAGTTTGAGGTCTGTGGCGAAATAAAAAAACGGGTTCATACATTATAGATATATATTTTTTGGTAAAGGAGGGCGGGACCTCCAAATTTTTTTATTAATTAGAACAAAAAATTAATATAGTCTAGGATTTCCCACCTATGAAAACGAAAAAAAAAAAAAAACTTTGGGACAAGCCTTAGAAGCCGAAAAACCTAAAACTATTAATACAAAACAACAAAATAAAAATGTTATAACATGCTTTGAACCCTATTACATAAACATAGTAAAGAAAAACAAAAAAAAAATTATATTTACGAGTTTTTTTTAAATCAAAATCACTATAAATAGTATCAAAGTCAATTTTATCCAACATATTTTTTTCGATGCATAATATAGTCAAACTATTCAATCTTTTTTGTGACATAGATGATCTTAATTAGTTTTTCAATAATTTTAATTTTAAAAAATTTCTTTCTTTTGATGCTATAGTAAGATGTATGGTTAATAATATTCGATATGTAATGAAAACATTTAGATGATAATTAGGGCTGGTCCAGACGAATCAAGGCTCGGAGAAAAGATAAAAAAAAAAAAATAAGCCCATATCGATTTTTCCCCCTTAATCACGTTTCCTTTTTTTTTTTTGGAAAGAGCTTAATCAAAATCTAAAACAAAAACATAACGTGTATCAAAATCATAATGTGCAAATAAACACACAACCATAATATTATAATAATGTTAAACAAAAATATAATGTGCATCAAAATCTAAAACAAACAAATAAAAGTTAAATCACAATTACAAATTACAAAATTAATATTTTTCTTTCAATATTTGTTTGCTCTAAAACCACAACCGTTAAGATATATATATATATATATATATATATATATATATATATATATATATATATATATATATATTAACTGCAAACAATTGTCATTCTTCTTTTATTGGGTGATTCACTCATTTGGGTTCAAACACATAGCAAACATAAACGATTGACCAATTTATGATTTTTATATATAACTATTTAAGAATCAATACATGTGAAAAACAATTGTTTATTCTCATCCTTCTAATATGAAAAAAAAAAACATTATTTTTATGGAATATAGGCCCATAAAGGGTTATGTGCCACTTACGAGTTACGACTCATGTTTCTACTTGTAATAAGTGGCAAAAAATGTAGAGGAAACAATTCGAACCTGGGACGTTTGTTTTGTCAAGGCACGCGCACTACCTTCCAGTCAACTCGGACGATAATAACTTACGTTATATTTGGAAGAAGTTCAAATACATATACTTAAGAACTCTATATATATTAATTATAACAATTTTTACTTGGGGGCCCCAAGCTTTCGTGAGGCCGGTCGCCCAGCTTGCCCGGGCCCTAGGGCCGGCCCTGGATGATGTCGTGCTCCGTAATGCTCAAATCAGGGGCAGGGCCAGAATCTTGGTCCACCAAACTATCAAATTGCATACGGTTGGTAAACGGCGAGACATCAACAAAGAATAACTCTTCTTTCCACTTCCAGATCGACGAAGGCAAACCGTCGCAAATATCGATTCCTCCGTGACTAAGGGAGAAGGATATCCAGTCGTTAGTAAGCATCGTCACGTAGAGATGACGAAACAAGGAAAACAAATGAGGAACATCTAGGGCTATGCACAGCAGCACGAAGCACATGATCTTCCAGAAACCGTTGGAGGTCACTTGAGTGATGTGGATTTTTTAGTATTCTAGCACAGTCCTTAGAAATGGAAAGGATGGAAGACACAAGCCAAATTTAGAAAAGATATAAAATACCTTAATGCAGCCAAGCGGAGGATTGGTAATGGTCTGATTCTCGGAAGGAAGTTGGGGCGAAATCAGGAATCGATACGATAGGAATTCACCGTATCATTTAGGTTTTTCTGGGTAAGAATGGATATTGCAGTATGAATCTGGAATTTGTCTTTGTCTATGGAAGAAGATGATGAATAAAGCGAAATTTATCTGAAAAGTCAATAATACTTAGAGGAAAAGATAACGAAGGAGCACTTGCAAATAAGGAAAAACAGTTGATTTCCCCTTTGGTTTTATAAGGAGAACAAAGACTTCAAAACTTTGAAATGACAGTTATGGCGTTACAGAGACATGATGGAAGGCAGAAACGGGTAACTGTCCAATCAAGTACTTATGATGATATTTGAACTTATCTGTTTCCCAAGAAAACCCCCATAGCAAAACAGCTAGTTCAAATTGCCACTAAACAATTCTAACGGGGGGGGGGGGGGGGGGACTTAACGAGGTATATACCGGATTATCGAGGTATATTGCTCCGAACCATAAAGACCAAACCGATATTTACATCGCCATACCGAGGAACTAATCTTCATTAAAACAAGCAAGATCGGTTGTTTGAGTGAACGTCAAGGCCATGCAATAGATAGCACATGCAACAATCCTATCATTGTACAAGTTGTATTGTACTTAAACGCTTAAACCTAATGATAGTTCACAAATAACCAATTGATAAGACTAATGACCTCTCCTTAGTACCGTTTTTGTACCTTCGACAACAAGGATGTAACAATTGGTAAAAATAGAAAAAATTATACGATGTCATATATTAATTATATGAAATAAAAAAATTAATATCTAAAATTTCTTAAAGAATTAATCATGTCTTATCTGAAAAGTGGAAAATTCTTTTGAAAATAATACTTGTGTTTAGTGTCTAAACCAATATTATGACCGGTTCGTGAAATCTATCAAATAACGCCATTTGAACACGAAACTCTAATTACCGTTCCAACACGGCTTCGTTTAACGGAAATATTTGATTTCCATCCATGAACTTGTATTAAATATTTTTTTAAGGAATCAAATTTGGCTAAATTACGAACCAAGACAACAGAAAGTGGTTAACGTTAAACGTTTATAAGCCATAAGATCACATTTAAATCTCGATGACCTCTTTCCGTCCTTCTAAATCTCGGTGGCCTCTTTCCTTCCTAGCTAGATTGCATTTTTAAACAATTATTTTCCTAACTAGTTAGTTCATTTTATCTAAATCTAACTAGATCTTAAGGGAGCAAGTTGTAGGAAATCAAATCTATAAGATCCTAACATATCTTGCGAGATTTGAGACAATCTTCCTTCTCCCTTATCCTAAATCTCGATCACTCTCTACCTCCCATATCACTCTCTATTTCTCACTAGCTTCCTTGAAAATAATGCACATGCATTGTATCTTTCTAATATATGAGATTTATAACAAAATCAAAATAATAGCATACCATATCTTCAAGGATATCACTCACAATTTCCTCACACATTCCTCCTCATTTCCTCCCTCTTTACCCTCTTATTTCTCCAACTAAAGGCCTAATTAGATGAGTTCCTAACTAAATCTTAAGGGCATCAACTTGTTAGAGATCTGATAAAATCCAAATGATCTCCATATATCTTACAAGATTGCATAAATCTTTCCTCCCTCTCTCCTTATAAATCTCGATTACTCTCTCACTCTATCATTCTACTTCTACTTCCTCCTAACTTTCACACATTTGCTCTCTAAATTCCACTCAAGTCCAGTCCCATTTCAGCCCCTCTCCTCCTATTCGAAGATCCTCAAGAACCGAGGGCAAAATGATGTTGCCGCCCTTCGGTTTTATCCTTCCAATTCAGCAACTTTTCATCTATTTTTACAAGCTTTAAAAGTCTAGATAACCCCCTAAAACATGTGTTTAGTTGTTGCAACAACTAAGAACATAAATCAACTCAAAAAACTTTCATTTTCCTTGCTTTCTTGCTGAAAAATCGAGATCCAAACAGCCCTATACAGAGCTGTTTTCGAGTGAGCAAAAAGACCCAAAAAGTTCCTGTTTTGGCTGCCATATTTTGAGATCTAAACAACCCCATAAGTAGTTGTTTTCGAGTGTGTTAAAACCCAAGAAAAACTCCATCTTTCTCCTTAAAATCATCCCAAGAAAAACTCCATCTTTCTCCTTAAAATCATTGTGTTCCAACCCTCTTTTGGTAACATACTTTGGAGTCCAAGAAAACTAGGTGATTACATGAACTTTATCACTCTTTTGTTGTCATAAAAATATATTGTAAATAAAACTTGATGAAATCTAACTTATTAATGCATGTCTTTATGTATTAAGACTCCCAAAAGAAACTTAAATCTCAAGCTTTGGTGGAACCAGAAACGTCACAAATTCTTCTCAAAACAACTAACGTTACGCGACGAGGGTGAGTTTTACGGCCCTTACGTTTACGTTATAAATTACGTTCATTTACGTTCGTGTTTATGTACACTCATTTACATTATTCGTTAATATTGACAAACATTTTATGTCAATTCTTAACGGTTATCACATTTATTTAAGTTATATATATATATATATATATATATATATATATATATATATATATATATATCATTTATGTCACTTTGTTACATAAAATGACATATGTATCAAAGGAGATATGCAAAAATAATTGTATAGAAGTATATGTCATTTCACATAAAAATGACCAACATATACTAATATATACACATATTCTATTGCCCAGACGATAATAAAATATGTATATATTTTTTGATATGTATAAATGTAATATATATATATATATATATATATATAATATCAAAATAACGAAAAAGGAAATGTTATATGTGTTCGTTAAAATGTTTGTTTTGTGTATCTACACGTTTAAATTACTTTCTTTTTCGCACGCACTTTACTACTATAGTTGTACATGTTTAGATTGTTAAGCTTTTGGTTGGTTTCACTTAAGTTGAAATCCAGTTTTAGTCGAAACGCAATCGTTATGCTGTCCGATTTGGATAGGAAAACTTTTGTAGCTTTACAGTGTTCATTAAGCCGTACAAACAAAAGTTTTTGAACATAAACAATTGTAGAATTGTAACTAAACTTGGGATTTTTGTGGGAGTTCTCGCATTCATCAAACTAAGAACACGAACTTAGTAAAGACCTCTGTAATAAACGTTAATCTGTTTTGAGTGAAGATTGTTGTGTATAGATCTATACGGGTTGACACCCCCGTCTGTGGTTGCTAGCTACAACTTTTTGTTTGACGAGACAAAACAGATGGTAACTTCTTGTTTTTATCTTATTCTTTTTATCACGACGTTGATGAAGCGTTGTTGGGACACCAAGCACCAACCTATTAATTGTGATTCACGGAGGCAAGTTCAAGTCATATAGCTTAGTTATAACTCCACATAGCCCGAAATTCACTTCAAAAATACTAATACAAGTTAGAATAAAACTATATGTAGCATAAGGATTTACTCTTAGATCATGATTAAGTGTAGTGTTTTATTTAAAAAAAATAAACACTTAAGAGCATACAAGACGAAATCATGTTAACTTTAACTTATTATAAACACATAATCTGGACCGATTTCTTTTATTTATGTATATTATTCACACTCTTTTATTTAGTTTGAATATTAGATAAAGATAGAATTAGTCCTCCACATTTGTTGTAACAGATCCAATATAATCGAATCTTTCCATGTATATGTATACGTTTCTTGATCAATGTGAATATACAAGTTCTAGTGATTCAATCATATGGTATCAGTCAGGTTTCTTTTTCTTTAACTATTAATCCCTTAAGCCGCCGCATCTATGACATCTCTACCACGAACCAACTACAACAACTAACCACATGTGGACTTGCCATTTCTACCACGAACCAACTACAATATAATCTCCCTTAGGCACATGCCATGAACATCTCAAACATCTCCAATCCAGACTGGCTTTTTAACAGCAGAGCATCACACCACATCAAAAATGATCTCAATGCACTATGTCTACACACTCCCTATGATGACACAAATGAGCTTGTTATCGGTGATGGTTTGTCCCTAGCTATCACTCATGTTGGATCTCTATTTCTTAAAATTTCTGATACAACATTCACTCTTACAAATGTCCTTTGTGTTCCATCTATCTCCAAAAGCATTATATCTATCTCTCGTTTATGCATTGACAATCATATACTAATCCAATGTTACTCTTTTCATTTTTTTTTATCAAGTACTTCAACACAAAACATATTCTATTCCGCAGAATGGCTAGTCGAGGAGTCTATGAGTTGCGTTCCACATCCCCACATCTAGCTTTTCTCTCCAATAAGTCCATTCCCTGGCACCATCGACTTGGACATCCACATATCAGAGTTTTACAACATTTGGCTTCTACTATTCCTGCAATTACTTCATTGAAAAATAATTGTAATTCATGTTGCATTAATAAAAGTCATAAGCTTAATTTTCATACTACATCTCTTACATCTACACATCCACTCGAATTAATTTTCTCAGATGTTTGGACCTCCTCAATTCAATCTATCGATGGATACAAATACTATATCATTTTTTTAGATCATTTCACCAAGTATAAATGGTTGTACCCTTTGAAAAACAAATCTGATTATCTCACAATCTTTACACGTTTTCAAAATCTTATTGAAAACTTCTTTCAACTCAAATTAAACAATTTTTCTCTGATAACGGAGGTGAGTACCTCAAACTAGCTTCTCATTTATCATCCTATGGAATTTCTCACCTTACTTTTCCTCCTCACACTCCTGAACATAATAGATATGTTGAAAGAAGGCATCGCCATATTGTTGAAACTGCTTTGTCACTTTTATCT